GCAGTGTCACTGGCCCTCATGTGGGATCCGAACTGGGGCCCTGCTGCTCAGAGCTGGTGTCCCAAGCCAGCTCTTAACCAATGTGCCACTCGGCCAGCCCCCATTGAAAGTTTTGAGGGCAGGTTAGAAGGAATAGAAAGGTGACAGCAAAGGGCACTAACAGACATAAAAACAGCACATGCAGATACCCAGAGGTGAGGGAGAATATGAGTGTTGGGAAAATTGCAAATAGTTCACTAAGACTGGAGAAATTAGGAAGACAGAGGAGGAGTGGTGAGGATGTAGACGTCAGTGAGCTCGATCACAGAGGGTCTTGCATGCTGTGTGGCAAAGAGCGTAGGCATATGGAAAGGTTTGAAGCAAGGCAACAGATAAATTAGTTCAGACAATTAGCAACTCCACTGTAACCTGATATCTAGTGGGTGTGTGATTCCAGAACCCCTCTTCTAGACAGAGTCACAAGCATATAAGGCCTTGTAAATTAGTCATTATGGATCCACGTTTTTAGTTAGTGCCTACATAATTGCACTCCAAAGTGTATATCAGCCTTGAGTGACAACAAAGAAAGCATCTATAGTTTTAGAAATTATGGGTCTGGGGCATGACAGAAACATAAAGGGGGAAATAGAATGTTTTTAATGAATAGCTGGTATCGGCATTTCCATTGTAAACCATAATTTAAAGAACTCATAATTCAGCAGCACTGTAAAGTCTATAATTTATCATTCTGACTGGAGGAACTTGGATCAGAATTTTCTCTAAACTATAAAGAAAAATGTGCATGCACATTTCTTGCCAAATGCTAATGCAGTGTTATTTTGAGTTTAGAGGGAAAGAAATGGGCCAGGAGCCATGAAGACGGCTCCATTCCCACTTGGTTGCTGTGAACTACTTAAGACTTTTCAAGTTACTTAACCTTTAGGGTCTCAGATTGCATGTTTTCAAATTAGGTCTGTCCTGTGTAATTTAGGATATCACAAAGTTAGTTTACCATAAAATGTGATTAGCGTACTCTTTCATTCCCTAAAATATACATAGTTTATATTTCTTTTAACATTTAATTAGGGCCATTACTGTAGGACATACTTGTAACCTGTGACAAAAACACATTCTCAATCCAGTGATTTAGACTCAACTAAGTACACAAGTTTTGCATATATTTGGTAAATACATTATGAATATATATGCTAAGTACATATATCGCA